AGTAGCATGACCAATGCTTTCCCTTGATGGCTACAATATACAATTTTTTTCTTCTTCCTAGCATTTTCCCGCAGGTGCAGGATCCGCTTTTTTGGGTCAACTGAATGTTGATCCATCGGTTGCGACAGAAATATACCAGCCAGCTTGTCGCCCAAGTGTGACACCATGAGCTGAGCGAGAGTGACTGGCCCAAAGTCACCCAGCCAGCTTTCATGCCTAAGGCAGGAGCAGAACTCACAGTCTCATGGTTTCTAGCCTGGTGCCTTAACCACTAGACCAAGCTGGCTCTCTGCTACAATATACAATATATGCACAATGTACAAAGGTTACAGTATACAATATATGCACAAGAGACATGTAGTGAAGCAAGTTGTGTGCGTGCTTCTCATGCCATGACCTCTTGTTGGGAGGGTAGGCAATGAAGTTATGGGGAAGCCTCATGGAATCAGCTATATCAATGGGGTTTTAGTACAACACAGCTGGGTGGAATTATATCAAAAGTTAAAGGAAGCAGTAGCCATGCCACCAACACTATATGTGAGGGCATCGAGAAAATCTAGCCAACAGAAAGGTCACTCTGATCAATTTAAGATGCAAGATTGTTATGGTGGTCAGTTAAGGCATGTGTTGTGGTTAGTGTACAGAAAAAGATTCTGTAAGTTAAATGTGGGAGGAAGATGGAAGCTACAGATTGAGAAAGTGGAACCAAGCCAAGCTGGGTAGAGCTGACTGAAATGGACTATATTAGCATCCTGGCCAAACCAGTTCTTGCCTGAGAGCAACGAAGACCAGAGAAAGAAGAGAAAGAAAGGCCAGGATTTGAAAGGTTCCACCTCTTCCTTATTTTTTTGGATGACTGAGTTAATAGCATCTGTCAAGCAATATTGCATTATCTTCCCTGTATAACTGACTGAACTGCCAGCCTGTCACAATTTTGGCACGGCTACTGTGTTTTGGCAGCAAGCCATATTTATTTGTCCTCAGTAACATTGCTATACCATGACAACTGTGTGGGACAGGGGAAGATTTGCAGATCTCATGGCAGAAGTCACGGGCAAAGCAATCTCTGGCCAATAATACATCACTAGGAAGAACAGGAAGATGCTTCTAGAGAAAACTGCTGCTTTTACAAGCACCTAGTTCTGAAGACTCAGAATATGTCAGACTGAACTAAAATGCCCTCCATGTGTTAGGTTGCTGCTAGCCTTTTTCAGCTGGAAATTATGGAAACTGTAGTATAATACACTGAAGACACCTGATTAGGGAAGACTGATCTATAATTTCTTGGAGTAGCAGCAGTATCCCATATAATAAATAAATGAAGGTAATTTACAGATGTTCCTGAATAGAATTTGCCTGAATAGAAACATAAGGCTTGTGTCAATATTTCTCTACATGCAGAGGGGTAGATCACAATTGTAATAGCAAATCCCACCTCCTTGTGTGTTTGGCATCTATAAGCCCATTTGCATAGTGAGAACTATGGGCACAATAAATATGATCCACTGTAAAGGTAGAAGTTGCAGATCACCTCTGCAAATATAACATATGAACACAGTAGACCTATCATCTACCTTGTACAAGCACAACAAAATAAAAATATGTCATGAGTGTTTGGGATAAAGTACTGCTGTCCTCTGACTTACTCACGTAGTAATGATTAGAAAGCAAATATGGATTGCTATGCAGTATTATGGAAAACAAACAAGAAACAGAGGAGGAACTGAGAATTGTCATTCTGGCATTCCAAATATTTATTTCTAAGTAATTCTACTAAGATTAAATGCTTTGGGTTCATTCCTATCTTAGCTATATGAAGTTTGAAACTGACAGAGTTTCAGTTAATTTGTCCACTGATTTCAGTGTGGATATAGGATATATAAATAGCTCCGGATCCAGCTTTCTCTATCAAAATAAGTGAGCTAAGAGGATAACAGATTAAATTTCTATTCCCTGATTTGCATTTTTGTGAGGCAATTAGAAAAATCCCATCATCCTGTACCAAAAACATCTAATTTGACCCAAAATTCATAAAGAGGCTCCATGCAATTATGTTCATATAGTAATCTGAAGTGCTTAGTGAAAGTTTCTACTGAAGTATGAATCACTGTTCCTAGAAAATTTTATAGAGATGGTACTGTCCAATTAATAGCATTAAAAAGGGTTGGGTATTCCCTCAATGCTCTGAACTTCACCCAATCTCATTTCAGCATAGTCTAGCATAGTATGTGACAATACACACATCCATTTTTTTCAGAGAAAGAAGTTAATTTAACCCATTGTTTTAAGTAACTTTGGGTGAAAAATATGACTCACAACATTTTGCCTCTTTTAATTTTATTCATTTCAGAGCTATTTTGGCAGATGGACAACCTGTAATGAATAAAGAATTTCAGCCTATAATGGGTGTCACACTGTAAGAAGAAACAGGTGTACATATGTATATTCCACTGGACACAATCAGAGAAATGGTAAATATCTTTAAAGGTCATTCTCCTGTCTTCTAAGATATTCTCACCCATAAAGCAAGGCTTTCTTCAGTTTCTTTGTAATGTAAATATAAAGCCTACATTAGCTGGAAGATTCATTCGCATTGCAAAATGTCTCTCCTCCAGCTTCTCTTCTGCATTAACATAGTAAGATGTTAATACACAGAGTGCACAAAACTCAAAGGTGACTTAAGCTTTATAGATGAAAATGACTTTAGCATTAAGTCTGCCAAAGCGCAATTATTTATTGTCTGATTTATCCCTTTAGTATGACTGTAAAGCAATTCCAGATGGTGTAACACCAAAATTAAAACGCGGATTTCTAGACTAGGAATTTATAAAGGTTTATGATTTGTTTTAAAAGATAAAGCACTAATCTTTTGTTTATGGGTGAACAGATGTGACTATGTTAATTTAAAACAAGGTGATGGAGATGAATCAAATTTGTTCTATTTCTTCCCTGTAGCACAAGGAAAAAGTAGTTCATTTTTAGACAGAAAACCAAAACCAGAAATAGTGGGAATTGTTTTTGCTTTTGTGCATCTATTTTTAGTTAACTGTTGACATCACAGTTGATATACAATTGAGAGAGTTATTAGCTATAGCATCTTTGGCAGCACCTTAAAGTCTGATTTCATGGAACACAAGGTGCAGCATGACTGTTCTCTTTTTCCTTATACAGTGACTTCTTTGGAAAGTGTGTTCGTACATGCTTTCTCCTAGTCTGATGGTGAACTTACTTCATACTGTTGATTTTGTAAGCATGGGATGTTGGATGGGAAAACTTCACAGTAAAGTATGCAAAAAGGTTGTCATGATGGGTCTCTATCAGATCCCAAACCAGAGGCTAGAGGAAAGGGAAGGGCAGAGGCCTGGGTTGACAAAGGATTGTGCAAGGACATCTCATGAGTACTTCAACCCTTGTTGTGGGGGCTCCAATCAGAAAAGGAGTTCTTCTTGCCTTTCTTTCACAACCTTATGGATGTAAGGATGCAGCATACTTTTCAGGGATTCCACCAAAATCAGGAAAAGAGATCTTAATATGCATTAAGAGTGCAAGTGAAGGCAACTGAAGCAATCCAGTGTTGGAAATATATAAATGTCTACAATGCATAATAGTGTATTAATTGGTGGAAGTCAATTAGATTAATTTACTGGGATGAAGATGTTTTTAAAAAATTAAAAGGGGAAGAAACATCTCATAATATTGAAGAAGCAACAGAACCTTGATTGGGGAAAACAGGGCTACTGTGAGACTTCTGCGGTAAACGTAGTATAAATGTTAAGAGAAATATCTTTAATATCATACTTCCTCGTTTTATGCAAATGAAAGCTGGAAAACTAAATAAGATGCTAAGCAGGATTTGATATGAACCACGTAAGTTAACTGTAATATGTAAAGCACACAGATACATATTAAACAGCTGGTTGCAGACATCTATAACTGTAAATAAAACCACAGATAATTTATTATATTCTAGTTTCCCCAGCTACGTCATTTTCTTCCTTTGTTGAGTGACAAATTACAGAGCTATGTATCTTAATAACAAAACTTTAAGAGCAACTTTTAGAGTTGCAGTAATCTGAAACACCTGTTTCCCTTTCTGACCTGATAGGTAGAAAACCATCATTTGATTGCCATAAATAAATACATATCAGAAAATCCAAAGTCTATCAAATCACTTTCCAAAGTCTATAAATGCAACTTTCTACTGTAATTCCTATACGATCGTTGTTTAAACATTACTTTGAAAAAGATTTTTCTAACTACCAGTAATAATTTTTCTATTATTCATACAGTCTGGTCTACACAATCTGTGTTTCTGCTATGAAACTGAGATTGGCTGCGAAGGAAAGGGTTATTTCCTTTGTTCCTGAATACAAACTGGGGTCATTGTTAAATAATAAGGAATCTAAACTTCCTGAACAAACAACAGTCAGTGTCATCCTCAGAGTGGAAAAGTTTTGACAGAAGTATCACATGTACGACATTGTCTTTTTATGACAATATGTCTAGCCAAGAAAGTAGCACCAAGGCACATCATGAGGATTTTGAAAGCAGATCTGGATGTCCAAACCACCTGGACCATATTGCCTTCTTGACCTTTTTTTTTTTTCTTTAAGAATTTGGGCTGAAATAAGCACAGCTTCAGATTAAATACCAGTATCTTCATTCTCCTTGGCTAGCAGCACAGATTCACTGTACGCTAACAACATGCCCCAATATTATAGACACAGGGTGGAGGGCTGTGTGGAGGAAACAGCGTCAAACACAAATATATCCTGCAAACAAAACATTCAGGCACCCTCACAATGTCACGGGCAAAGTCAGCTGAAAGATGTGTGTCTGTGCTGAAGTCAAGGATATGATTCCAAGATTATGGTGCTGGAAAGTTTTTCCAGCCAGTACAGAAGGTGAGATAACCTCTGGCTGCACAAAGAAAAATGATAAGCCATATATGATTACACCAGACATTTTTGTTTGATCTTATCAGAAGAATTCACACTTACCAAGCAAATGCACATTATGCAAGGGTTGTCTGTGATAAATGGGATCTGTAGAACTTCTCCCTCGTTCTCACATTTTGCAACAGAACCTGTATGGAAAATTTTAAAAATTAATATTACTTCCTCACTTTGCCTGTCCAGCATCCATCTGCACTTTGCCTAAAAACCAGCAGTGCACTAGACTGCAACAAATGCTGCTGTCATAAAAATACAGAAATAGGCCCTACTGAAATTAGCAGGAGTTACTTTTCAATCGTTATCTTTTCCCTTTGCTTACATCAAAGGTATCTGGGTATCTGCATTTGGTTCAGTTTCAACAACACTCTTAATGTTATCTCAAGATGAATACCTCCCCTAAAAAGTTAAAAGCTACCCAAAGCACAACAGAGATAATTATTTTCCGTAACTAACAAGCATCTTTTAAATTTAATCGACGTGATAAAAACGGATCTAATGAGATAAGTTTTTTATTCCCACAAATGCTTTGCTAGCATGGCATTTTAGAAGTCAAACGTTTTTAAACGCAATTTAGGAAGACTGTAGATCTGATCTTTCTATGGACACAAACAGGGGAACATCTATTGTTACCTAATTCGGATCAGATCAGGGGTATGAAATACTAGTCTTTCTGTCTGCCGACATACTTGAAATGTAAAGAGCAAGACTCTTCAGACTCTTTATTAAATGAATTTGATTAGTAAGATGTACACACACAGAGAGATGATATCACTCTGAAATCTTTTTTTAAAAAATATGCCAACTGCTATTTTGGGAAATGTTATACTTCTCACAATGTCTAGAACTTGGCTGGTTTTGCACCAGGTATCAGGCAAGCTTCGGGGTGGGGGCAGGGTGCATCGTAGCTCCTTCACCTGCTTGAAAAGAATGCTACTTAGCACAGCGTGCAGTTTGTTTCTGACATGCAATGCGTAATCTTTAAATCCACACAACTCTTCAGGGGCAATACTTGCAAGGATGCCGGGTGGGAAAGCACCGCGTGTCTCCCAGAGCAATTTTAGCCAGGTAGCTGGATCATCAAGATAAAGCTGTCTTCACACGGGAGAGCACTTCAGGCTCCGAGCACATGTGGCGGCACGCACCGAGAGACGCCAGGGCCTCTCACGCGGCGCTTGGCACCAAAAGCGCATTTGACATTTAAAAGGGGACTGCATCCAAACCGGGTTGGCTGCCTATGATCGTACCTGCTTCATAACTGGGTTTCGAGAAATCCAGAGAGAACCTTAGTAAACGTTGTGTGGCCTTTTTGGAAAATTAGTTGACGAGGCGATCCTTAGCAGAGAAGTTCTGCGCTACGAATCACCAACCGGGCTATTATTACACATGCCCGTCTCCACGCGTGCATACATCCTCGCTGCCCCACGGACTGGAAACCAGCGCCTCGCGTAATTTCTTCGCGCACAACTTCTGCAGGCGTGGGTGGAGAGCGCGTGCGGCTCCCCGCTTCCCCCGGGACCCCGCCGTTGCCCTTACCTGTCAGGAAGGAAGACGCCAGCGTCACGGGCAGTCCGAGGTGGTGGAGCCACAGCCAGCCGGCGAAGACCAGCCCTGAGGAGCTGAGCAAGGGAGCCGCCGCCCAGGAGCTGCACGAGAGCCAGAGCATCGTCCCCTGAGACACCCGCTGCGGCTCTTGCGCGACCGAGAGCCCGGGAGAGCGCGCAGGCTGGCTGGAGCGCGGCGGAGGCGGGGAGCCGGCAGGGAAGTTGCTGCCGGGGATGCAGAGGGGGGGGGGACGGAGCGGGAGGCGGCGGCGGTG